GGCCATAGATAGGCCTAAATAAAATGTTTTTAATTGTGTACCAGTTTAACGTTGAATATTATTTATGATTTTATCATTAGATTACTGTTATATCCTACGATGATATCTCACTGAAATGGAAACTGTAAATTCCATTGAAATTAAAAACGCATTCAGTTTTTGTCATATCCTAGCAACAATTTCACTGAAGGTAAAGCACATAGTTTCTGTAACATCGTACGCAACAATCTGCGTTCAAAACACGCTCTGTTTCTGTGATATCCTACAAAAGAATTCTACTAAAGTTAAAAAAAAATGGTTTCTTTCATGCCCTTCGAAACAATCTCTCGGAATTTAAAACACACGCTGTTTGTCACACGTTACGAAACAATCTCAATGTAGTTAAAAACCCATTTCCTAGGTTGCGCTAGTTGCCAAACAGCTTTACACCTGAACAAATTTCCAAGTTTTCAGTCACCAAAAGATACTCATTCTCAATCCCATTTTCCAAATTGGTGCTATTATATTAGAAAGTGAGATGACAGAGAGAATCAGAAGAATAATCAGTACAATACGTATGCTTTAATAAGTAATACTTTCATGCATACTATAAATTCAAGCTTAAAATATCTTTATTTACACTTAACTAACTCTTAGCCTACTGTTAACTTCTCCTTATCACGATGTGTATAGAGACGAATTTAATAGCATTATCAAGAAATCATTGTATTCATGTGGGTAAGTTATTCCGTAAAACCCGTTATAAATATTTATTATACAAGAACGTTTGAAAAATCATCTTCCGTAAAACATCACGTTTGAAGAAAAATTCACGAGTTATTTACAGCTCTTTTTCTTGCTTTATTAGTAAAAGGTGACCTCTCTCATCAGCGAAAAAAAGCTTTCGCCAGGAGCAAGACAATTCGCTAAACAAAAAATAGAAAATAAAAACACGAAAAGGAAGTTTCCCTGCTTGAGTTTTGTACTGTTTTCTATCTGTATTTCTACATCGATACTTAGTGAATTATTAATCGCTAGTCCCCCAGTAGCACAGCGCTATGTCTGCGGACTTACAACGCTAGAAACCGGGTTTCGATACCCGTGGTGGGTAGAGCACGGATAGCCCGTTGTGTAGCTTTGTGCATAATTACAAACAAACAAAATTAATCGCTATTTAAAAAAGAAAAGAGATTTCTTGTGTTAAAACCACTCCACATTTGCAATCCCTCAGTGTGTACATTTATACGGCTATGTTGTACGCCATTAACTATTTCAAAATCGTATTGTACTAGCTCAGTATTAGAGGGATAAAGTCACTTCATAGATTTCAGTATTAAGAAGATTGTGGATTTGAAATCGTAAATAACCTCTGCCTGTTGAAGGTATATATTTTCGTTTTTTTTTTTGAAGGGTTTAACGTGCTATGTCGAAAACAAAATGTTTGTGATTTTCGTGTCGCAATCAAAGGAAAATTTAATAAAAGAAGGTATTCCTATACCCATTACCCTACTTATCATACAGAACTGCTTGCATATACAAATTGCAATGTATGTGTTTTGTATAGATATTTTCAAACATATACTTGTATTTGATAATTTCATTGCATTATTAATAAGGAAATTAGTTACACACTATATCCATACGTTTATCACTAATTAAACTCGATATTATGATATCTCCACAAAGTTTTAGACTTGATAACTAAACTAGGCCTCACCACAATTTAACTTAGTACAATCAATGATATTACAATATCCCCATCAGAAGTTAGCCTTGCTTACTAGGCCCTTACCAATATAAACTTGATAACACAATATACCCATCACGTGTTAGAATTGGTAACCCAATCCTTATCACTAGCTAAACATGACATTTTAATACACTCCATCGTGTGTTAAAATTTAGAAAGCAGGACTCACCACTAGCCACATTTGATACGATTGTTATAACGTCTTCTCTTTTCCATGACGTAACCTTGACGAATTCCTTGACGTATTTGAATAAATGACAGTAATGAACTGCTGTATTTCGTCGTATAACGATCTCTTCTTTAGTATGAACTTCATAATCTTGTTTTAAATGGAACACATTTAAGTATGATACTCAACACTAGCGAAAATACTTCATTCACACACATTTTTATCATGGATAATGATGTGTTTTATACGATATATTCCATCATATTTCATGTATTGTTACAGAACCACTTGGAATATACATAAAGTAAAATTACATCTTAACTCTTTACGTGCTGGTTTACCACATGATAACATTCATAACAAAATTTTCCTAATAGTTTGGCTTGTTTTGAATTTAGCACAAAGCTACACGAGGGCTGTCTACACTAGCCGTCTCTAATTTAGCAGTGATAGATTAAACTCAACACCACCCACCGCCAACTCTTGGGTTACTCTCTTTTACCAACGAATAGTGGGATTGACCGTCTCATTGTAACCCCCCCCCCCCCCCAAGGCTGAAAGAGAAAGCATGTTCACTGACTGGAGAGATTCGGACCCGCGATCCTAGGATTGCAAGTCGAGCACCCTCACCACCAAGCCAATTATATTTAGAACTGGAAGCACAAACCTATTACTTTTATTTTATGGCTTCTTCTTGGGTTGATATAGGTATCTGGTGATTCGAAATTAAATTTTATAGAGAACCAAGTGATTTTATCCCGTATAGGGCACGGTCCGCCTCTGGCAGTTGAATGCAAGAGTGCCGTATACAGTGTATGGCTTGAAAAAATTCCGTATGCGTTTAGAAGAGCTGCAGTCAATGGGTTAAAACCAGGTGCGTATCTCATCATAGTAGTCGATACGATGCGTATCTAGTTACAAAAGTTTTACCAATGGTGTGTTACAAAGTTTAACAGTCTTGTCTGTAATTTATTATCTATATTACTAACACTGTATTATTTAAGTACTTCACACTTTACAGTGCTTTTTCAAATTCTCAGGTTTGATCAACTAAATAGCGGCTGGCAAGAGAGCTAAAATAAAAAAGTTAATATCTGTCTATCTATTTTGTTGTTGTTAATTTGTTATGTTACTTTGAATGTAATGTTCTTAATAAAAGAAATGAGGACAACATTTAGTACTCAATACTCATCTTCATTTATTGAATCATTAATCTTTAGTAAAAATACTTTATTAGAAATTCTGATTTTTTCTGCACAAAAGACTTATAATGTTTACTTGAACGCTTGCCAAATTTCGTGAAGATACATAAATCGTTTCGGACGATGTATCGATATAAAATCGTATCGCTGTATCGCCACACCTTTAGTTAAAACTCATATTTTGACCTTGGCTTTCATTCGAATCTGAACAGAATCTAATAATCACAAATTTAAAATTTGTAAAAACCTAACCTAAAGTGAAGTAGTCTAGATTTAGATTTTTCTATCACTGGGCATTTTAAAGCTTTTAATCTACTTGATTCAAGCTAATCATCTTCAGTTACATTAAAAAAAGCTACATTTTCATTTCACTAACAGAGACCAGTAAGAATGTGGATTACATAAGTTTTTTCTTGACATTGGACAACGACTTTGTCACTTATCGCGGGCATCGTGCATAGAAAAAGAATTAACTGATCATTAATGTCGGCAGAAGTATCACAATATACACATAATTCTTTACAAATTATACATATACAGTGCAGTAATTATTATGTTGTTGATTGTTTGTTTGTAATTAAGCACAAAGCTACACAATGGGCTATATGTGCTCTGCCCACCATGGGTATCGAAACCCGGATTCTAGCGTTGTAAGTTCGTAGACATACCGCTGTGCCTCTGGGGGGGGGGGGGCATGTTGTTGAAAAGTCCTAAAGAAACGAAATTTCATTCACATCTTTCTAGAATGTTGTGATGCGCGCATGTGTAAGGCTCGTACATTTAAAACCTTCTTCTTTTTCAGATTCTTTCCTTTTTTAAACGCCTTTTCCCCAGTGGCACAACAGTATGCCTGCGGACTTACAACGCTAGAAACCAGGTTTCGATACTCGTGGTGGGCAGAGCACAGATAGCCCATTGTGTAGCATTGCGCTGAACAACAACCAAAATTCAAACGAACCTTTTTTTTAATATTCAAAGCCTATACATTTTTGAAATTTGCTTTTTATTTTTTTTATGCGAGGTAATATATTTCGACCAAATCAGATAAACGAATAATTTACTGAACCTGAGCTGGAGAGTAAACTAGACAGGAAAATTTGAATTAGAATAACTCATGGCGACTATAACAACAATGACCCAATAGTGGATCAAACATATTTAGTGGAATACGACTGTCTTTTAAACAAAGCATCTTAACATTGTGGGATATCGTTTGGAGAAGTAACACTGAATTCTTCATTTATGGTATTTAATATGAGGAATCTAAAAAATTTGGATATAATTGTAAACGTAAAGAAAAGACAAAATGTCGTGATTGCCATGCTTTAAAAGAAAAGTTCATCCACTGGTAAGCTTAAGAGCTTATAGCACTAGAATTTGGAGTTTGATCATATCTCTGCGGTGGACACAACGTATATAGCACATTATCATAATCAGTTGTTTTTAAGTAGGTAGGAACACCACAGATAACCTATTGTGTAGCTTTGAGCTTATCAACAAAAAACAAACAAAATAGCACAGATGTATATTCTCTAATGAAATACATTAACATTTTCGATTTGTATTCTATAAAGCCTAGTAGTACATATATCAACAGATCATTTATCTAACATATGTGTAAATGAGGTACAGGAGGTATTTCTAAGTGTGTTAGACAGTGAGTATATAGATAACATCAGTGGTAGGGAAAACACGAGACTTCCTGGCAGAAGTGTATGTGAGTATACAGCTAGTGCGTCAGAAAGGCCGAGGCTTTCGTCTTACTCATCTAGTCCTGAGCGCTGTTGTCTATAGATGTGATTGGTATTATAATGTAAATAGCTACACACACATATATATGAATCTCCGTGTTGTACAGAATTTCTATTTTGGTATCTTTCTTTTAAAGGCGTGATAGTTACATAAAATGCCAAGTGAAATAACCAAAGCATTCCTATCAGCATTCTTAGAATACGACACTGTAAAAGTAGTTCACATCAAAAGCAAGAAAGCTGGTATTATTAATAGGATAACGCAATTGGTCATAATAGTCTACATTATTGGGTAAGTACTGGGTTATAAAACTACTATATTTGAAATTGTTACATATGCTCATTGTAGCAGGGGCTTTTTTATTGTAAGTTCCATACCAAATGTAAAGAAGCTCAGTTTTTCTTGTGATCACTATATTGTGCATATTATTGGACCAAATTTGGTACAGCAGTAGTTAAGAATGAGTTGTGAGTCAGCATTTTTTTGTTTTGTTGTTTTAGTTAATTTATCCCGCTTATAAATTGATAAGGTGAGATAGAACTAGAAATAACATAGGGAAGACCACGTGTCTTTATTATATGATGATTTTTGTAATAATTCAGAAACCTACTTTAACGCAGCATAGGCCAAGTTGATACATAAGAGGCTTAGTGAACAATTATACAAAGAACACCTCCAACTTAATATCTAACTGAAATAACATTACATTAATAATTTATTTGTGAGTTAAGTCTATTCAAATAATTTAATAACTAACTGCCGTAAAACATCATGTTACTATTAGCTTGTAATGACCAAAATTGTATTTGTAAATGTTAAGGACCAGATATAATTTAATCGTAGTACTGAATCATATTTGTGGCTAATTCTGAAAAATGCTCCTTTTCCACATTTATAATATCTTTGACTTTTTTTTAATACTCTTATAAACTTTTCTCAAGCCTTAAGTACGTACACACACAGTGCAAGTCAGCTTTCAAATATATAATTTATCCTGAAAATATAACTTGTAGGCCTATTGTTATAACAGTATTTACATTTAGCTAAGTAAAACAATCACAAGTCCACGTCTACTTTATTCATTTCGAACCAATGGCTATACCAACAGAAATGTTGTCCCACGAAAAACAACTGTTCCAAAAATAAACTCGCACTCAAATCAAATAATACACGTACACTAGCTTTACAATCGCTAGTACTGAGCCCAAAGGGCAACACCATACAGTTACGTTTCCGCCACAGTTCAAAGTCTGCAATCTTGAGGAAATAGTTAAAAAAAAAACAAAAAAAAACATTGGCAATAAAAGCGCCACAACACTCTGCCCCTTCTCCGCGAGGTGCCATTAGTAAACTGACTGTGACGTGTTTGTTTAAAACAAATGGCGGGGAAACTGGCTAACCAAGAACAAATTCGTTATGGACCTAGAGATTTAAACTGTTTCGTCAATATGGACATATATTTTCTCCTAACTTGTAAAAATGAACATCTTATCCCCGGATTCCTCCAGTTTAAGGTTGCAAATAACAAATGGTGTTTCTCTAAATAATACAAATAATTTAAAATAAATTTCTGGACTTGGAAACTAACGACAGAGTCTGTCAAATTAAATTGTGTGTGCTCTCTTATAGTAAAGCCACATCGGGCTATCTGCTGTGTCCACGAGAATCGAATCCTTGATTCTAGAATTGTAAATCCGAAGACTTACCGCTGTCCCACTGGAGGACCAACTGTAATAAGAAAGCTTTAACTGAAATTAGGGTTAAACAGTCACGTAAGTTTAATAAACTAATAAAGCACAGACGCAGGGACACATTCTCAAGTTACTTAGATGGTGTTATTCGAAATTTATCGAACTAACATTTGTCTGATGATGAGAAAAGGGTCTTAGCCACGTGGTTAAAATGTTCTATTCCCCCCAAGAAAGTTACTGCAGAGTATTATTACCCTCGGCCTGCGAGGGTATTACAATTGGGGTCTGTGTGTGTGTGTGTTTCCGCATTCGTATCTCGAAAAGTAGTAGGGCGATGGATACGAAACATTTACACAAGATAAGAAGTCAGATTGGGACAGTCCTCCCCAAATTTGGTCCGGATTCAAATACGGACCGGATTCTGGATCACTTTGAAGCATTTTTATAATGGGGAGATAGGGCATTTTCGCGGTTTTAAGTTAATAACTCTTGTAAAGTGTGATTGGATTTGTACCAAATTTCATGGGCACGTTAAGGTTGAGACTCCTCATCACACTACAGAAAAATGATCCCGATCGTTGATCATTCTGGAACTGAAAAGGATTTTCTGAGTTTTCGAAGGTGATATTTTACGTTATCCAATATAAATGCATGCAATCTCCAAAAGGAGCGGCGGGACGAGGGTATGCAATCTCTCAGATTGCTCTTGTTTTCTAAGTTTCGAAACCTTTTACCACAAGTAGGTGTTAAATTTGGGGAAACGTGTGTGGAACTTTGAACAAGTTAAAGCTCAAATCACTGGTCGTGCCCTCGGAATGTTACAAGATTTTAAACTTAGTAAAAAAATAACATTAGTAAATTTAAGCATTGATGAAATCCAAGAGTGTAATTACTAAAGCATTGTCATAAATGTAGTGTTGTTGTGGAAATGAAACTTAGGCTTTGAAAGACTTATAAAACTGTAAGGAAAATATAATAATTAAGACATTGGCTAAAAAAATTTAAAATCGTGTCAGTAATTTTGGTTTGAAATTACTTGACCCCAAACAAAGGTTTGGGGACAGATATAACCTGGGCGCTCGGAAAATCGTTTTCTCTTCGCCTTGCTCGTGTTTTAAAATAACTTGGGAGGCTTAGTTTGAAAAGATATGACGATAAAAAAAAAATATGTATGTACATATATACTCGTTTGTGTTCTAACAATCGAGGTCAGCAAGGAAGAAGCGGAAGAACCGGGATGAATAATTTATAGAGCTTTTCAGTTGGGTAAGTAAGCTGTTTATGGCAGTGAGAGTAGCAGACAGGGTGGGTGGGGACCTAAAGATCCAAATACCCGTAATTTAGGCGTGTGGGGGACGGGAGTACCCCGAGAAAAACACACTCTCACTACTCGGACGCCACTAGCTAAATGTAAAGGTGTTGTGATTATAATGAGATGGGTTACATCCGACAAAGTGGAAACTGTTCTAAGTAATAATGACGAGTTTATAGAAATCAGGTGTTACCCAACGGAATCAAAGTAGCTAAACTTGGGAGACATCTTTTAGGCGAGACAAGACTGGCAAGGACCTGGTTTCAGCTTAGAGCAAGGGTGCTCCTTCCCAATATTTTACCCAAGATTTACCCTGCAATTTTTTATTTCAGATAACCTACAT